CGCCGCCTCGCCATCTCCGTACGTCCGCGATCGAGTCGCATGGCCCGCTGGTAGTGCCGCGCCCGTCGACCTGATCGACCTTGTGCAGCCTCAGGACAGGGCGTGGCTGGAGGGATGGCGGAGCCATTTGCTTCGAGATCGGCGCGCCGCCGAGGCCCTGGCGCAGGCTGCCTGCCCGCGCGGGCCCTGCTGCGATCCGAGCCTGGTTCGTGATGCGAGTGTATACGGCGAGTTTTTGATTCAGATGTACCAGAGGCAGATGGTCACCTTCGCGGAGGACGGCGGCCTCCCGCATTCCGTCGGCCTCTTTTTCGCCCCCAATAAGTCGGGGGCCCTCCGAATCATCTTCGACGCGAGGGCCGCCAACTGCAAGTTTTTGGATTCACCAGCTACCGGGCTTCCTTCGGATGCGTCGTTTGGGTCAATCGAGGCCCCTGCCAATGGCATGTTCATCTCAACATGCGACCTGGAGTGCGCTTTTTACCACATGCGGCTGCCCTGCGGGATGGAGTCCATGTTTACCTTACCTTCTGTCTCTGTGGCCATGCTACAGGATATGGGCATGATCGACCTGGACTTCGACCCGTCCACGCGCGTGACGCCCATGGTCACCGTTCTCCCGATGGGTTTCTCGTTGCGCAGTCCTAGCTGCGTGCGGACGTGAGAGGGTCATGACCGCGCTGGGCGGCCAGCCGGGCGTTGTGGTCACGGACCCCGTCACGGTTGGCGTCGGCGCCTACGTCGACAACATCTTGGCGTTCGGCGCTGACAAGAGCGCGGTCGACCGGGTCGTGGCGCAGCTTGTGTCTGCCTTTCGTGCCCGAGGGCTACCCGTGCACGAGATTGAGCTTGCCGCCTTGGACGCGGACTTCTTGGGTCTCAGCCTGAAGCACGGGGGGTTTTTGCGCATCAAGCCTCGTAACATCTGGCGGCTGCACGCGGCGATCTCTGGGCTTCTTTGCCGGGGCTGGTGCAGTGGCGACATGGTGCGGGCAGTGCTGGGACGCGTCACCTGGTCATCGATGATGCGCCGCGTGGCCCTCGCTGTTCTCCACAGCGCGCGCAGCCTCGTGGCGGCTCGCGGCGAAAGGCAGGGCGGGATATGGCCGTCGGCGGCGAAGGAGCTGGTCACTATTCGAGACCTGCTTCCCCTCTTGTCGTGCGACCTCGCCTCGAGCTGGCATCGCACGATGACTTCCAGCGATGCCTCTCCTGTCGGGCTCGGGGTGATGCGCCGCCGCGCACCGCGCCCCGCCTGTGCCGCCATTGGCCGTTGTTCAGAGAGGCGGGGGTTTAAAGTTGAGGGCGGGTACCAGGCCCGCTTTCGGTCACTGCGAGAGGGCTGTCTAGACCAGCTCAGCCCTGTGCGAGAAAATGTTGCCATTGCTGACTGTCATCCTACCTCGGCGCGCTTGAAGCCAGACATCCAACCTGACAGCCCTGCGTGTTTCTCTGTATGTCCGCCGCTTTCGGGTGCGCTCAAGGGCCGCTGTGATCGGCAAGCCCGACGCGAGGACCTTCGCCGGAAGCTCATGGGCCTGCGCGTGGGCCCTCACGCGGAGCTCACAGGCCAGCACGAGGACCCCTACTACTCCATGGGCCAGCACGGGGACCCCTACGAGGAGCTCATGGGGGTCAACGAGGTGCTCGCTCAGCCTCCCAGTGGCGCCACTTGGGCTCATAATGCTGCGGTCTTGGGCGACCCCTGGGAGATGGACGAGATCCCTGGTCATATTGCTCGGGAGGACGCTTGGAGCTCGGTATCAGCCCAGTCGGTCTCCACGGGGGCCAACATACTCTACCTGGAGGGGGGGGCGCTGGTCACATCGTATCGGCATCAGCTCCGCAGTCTGGGCGCTCATGGGGCTCGCTTGGTGGCGCTCGTCGACGACCTCCCGCTAGCTCTCGCTTGCGCGAGGGGGGGGGCTCGGTCATTACATGAGGTCGTGCCTGAATCAGTTGTGCTTTGTCGCTCGCCACGGGCTCGAAGCTCTTCGTGCGCTGGATTGCCTCAGAGCGCAACCCAGCCGATGCCCTCAGCCGAGGGAAGCTCGGCTGGTTCAACGGCCATCGTCAGCTCAGTCATGCGAGGGCCCGCCATGGGCGCCGCGGAGGACGGGGCCTGCTCACTCAGCCTGGACGCGCCGCCGCGCGAAGCTGGCGTCGGCTGCGGCACGCGGGCGGACGCTTGCGGGCTCCCTGACGCTCCTGGAGCAGCTGGCGGTGCGGCCGACCACGGATGGCCTCTATCGCCAGCTCCTGCAGACGTTCGTCGCGTACTGCTCAGACCGCCGCCGGGACTGGGGGAACCTGAGCGAGCTAGACAACTTGCTCGCCGAGTACTTCACCTCGCGGTGCATCTCGGGGGCGGCGGCGAGCGTCGGGTCGCAGACGGTCGCGGCACTGGCTCACTTCACTCCCGGTCTCCCGAGGCAGGTGAGCTCGCTCTTGCCCCTCGCCTCGCGAGCGATGCAGGCGTGGCGGAGACGAACCCCAACCCTCACTCGGTTGCCGATCCCTCGGGCGGTCATGTTCGCGCTGGCTGGCGTCATGATTGCTTGGCAGCAATCGCCCATGGTGGCGTGGCCGGTGATCGCGTTCCCGGCGTACTTCAGGCCCGCCGAGGCTCAGGGACTCACGACGGACAGCATCGTGCAGCCGTCAGCGCTGGCAGGGACAGCGTGCCAGTTTTGGGGCCTGCTGCTGCGCCCGGCGGACCGCGGTCAGGCAGGCAGGACGGGCTCCTTCGACGAGTCTATCCTCTTCGACCTCGACCTGTACCTGGTACCAGTGCTCATGGCCCTCCGTTGCAGAGGGGGTCCAGGGACACCGCTGTGGAGCTTCTCCCTCTCAGAGCTGAACAGGATGTTCGCTCTGGCAGCTGCGGCGCTGGGGATGTCCCAGTTGCGGCCTCGCCGGTACGGCGTGCGCCACGGCGGAGTGAGCGACGATCTGCTGACCCAGCGGAGAGTGCAAGAACAAGTCTTCCGACGAGGGCGCTGGGCTGTGCCATCGTCAATGAGACGGTACGCCAAAGAGACGGCCTTCTTGCGCGAGCTGCAGGGGGCCCACCCGGACGTGTACGCCTTCGGCGATTTGGTCGCGCAGCACTTTTGCCTTCTGGTCGAGAAGGGGTTCCTCAACGCCGGGCTGCAGCGGCTCGTCCCAGCCGGCCTGGCGACCTCGGTCCTGTCCGGGCCAGGCAGCAAGCCCAGGCGGGTGGGGCGGCGACCGCCGGGCCGCGCCTGAGCGCGGCCAGCCCTTCGGGCGGGCCCGCTGGCGGCGTCGCCGGGCTGGCCCAGCCGCCCTTGCGGAGCTCGGGGCGCGCCGAGCACCTGCGGCGACGCTTTAGAGCTGCCGTCAGCCGCGGCCCCCTGTGCCGGCGGCGCGTCGTGCTGGAGCTCTTCAGCGGGAGTGGGCATTTCACAGCGGCCGCCCGCCGACTGGGCCTCTCGGCGCTCGCCTGTGACGTGCGACATTCGCCGCTGGAAGACCACCTCTGCCGTGACTTCGAACGGGCGGCAGCCGGTTGGCTCCGCGGCCGCGCGGTCGCGGCAGTATCCCGCTAGCTCTTTGATGTGATATGCCGAGCCGCTTGCGTCCCTCATTATTTCAAAGAACGCCCGCGCGTGCGATTTTGATCCATGCCAATGCGGGACATCCCGGCAAAAGCGCACCATCATCGTGGCTTGGCAGACAGGGCCGCTTTTAGGGCTTGATCGGCTCTGTCAGGGCCGCAGGGGGATTTGCTCTCGCACCGGCAACAGGCACACTATTCTCACTGGCCAGGCCCCTGAGGGCTGTAAATGCACCGCGCTGGCTGCCGCCTGCCCCGCTGGACTCTGCGCGGTGTTGGCTAAAATTGTCAGGGGCGCTTTGTTGCAAAGGCCTAGGCAGGCCATGGCAGACTTAATATGCAAGTCGCCGTCTTAATCTCTTCGAACTGCTGCCTTATTACATGTCGGCCCTGTCGCTACAGCTCCCTGGCCAGCTCTTCCGTATGGGGTTTGGGACCTCATCTGCATGTGCCTCGCCTGCTACACGTTTCGGTGGTCAATGCCTGTACCCCTCGTCCCGGCAGTCCATCTTGCCGGCGCCTGGCTCGTGCTTGACACATATGATGATGAAGAAGCGGGTGCCCATCGTCGGTCACGTCGGTTGCTGTCATCAGTTCTGTTCTGGTACTCGTTGAATCAGGGCGGGCTGGGCAGTTTTCACAACGTTATGCAGAGCCCTGGGTTGAGAGTACCGCGCTTCCGAATGCCAGCCCGTGCTTGCCGCTAGCATCTGTGCTCAAGTGCGCCCACCCACATGCCGCCCTCACTTGAATCCTTTAATTTCGTCCCGCTTCTTTGGGGCCTCATCTGTGTGTGCCTCGCCTGCTACGCGTTTCGGTGGTCAATGCCTGTGCCTCTCGTCCCGGCAGTCCATTTTGCCGGCGCCTGGCTCGTGCCTCGCGCATATAATGAAGAAGAAGCGGGTGCCCATCGTCGGTCGCGTCGGTTGCTGTCATCATTTCTGTTCTGGCACTCGTTGAACCAGGCCGGGCTATATATATATATATATATATATATATATATATATATATATATATATATATATGTATATATGGTCGCCCCCCCAGCGCCCCCAAACCACCAAAGCCGCAAAATCTTCACTGATCGTTTGCTCCTCGTCGCTCTCCTCCTCTTCCTCCTCCCCCTCCTCGAAACCTGCGAAAAGCAGCGAAAACCATTTGGAAAAAAAAAAGCCCACAAACCCCAAACACCGATAGCAATATTATGATTTCGGGAGAACCTCGCCCCCCCCCCCCTCCCCCAAAAAAAAAGTTTTCACCGAGATCATTTTTTTGTTTTTGTTTTTTTGGTTTTCTCGAGCGTTCTTCGTTGACTCCGCCTCCCCCCCTCTCCGCCCCGCTCTCCCCTTCCTCCTCCCCCCCCCCCCCCTCCTCGTCGTCCTCCTCCTCCTCCTCTCGCAGTCGCTGTTCTGATATATTTTCTGAGCGGCGCTCTGTGTCATGGCGCATGCCTTCCGGGTGGGCGGTCGGCGTCGACCGTTTGGCGGGCAAGACGGATTGCAAAACAATAGTGGTTCATACGTGAGCGCGCGCGTCGCGCCGACGACCCTCGGCGCCGACTGCGCAGCGCCCAATGCGCGCTCGCAGGGCGCGGCCGCGCGCTCACTCGGCGTCGCTGGGGGGCGCCGCCGCCGGCCCCGAGGCCTGATCGCCCTGTTCAATCAGGCGCCCGAGTTCGGCCTCCAGGGCGCCGTCGTCGTCGTCGTCGCCGTCGACGGCGATCGTCTCCCTGTGGGCCGAAGCGACGATGGAGGCGAATGTCGCCCCTTGTTCCGCGGCGTCCACTCCCGACGGCGGACCTCCGCATCCCACCATGGGCCTCCTCGCCCTCTTCACTGGCGGAGGCGAGCGCAAGTCCTCGAAGGCGCCGTGGTGCGCCCTGGCGAGGCTCTTGAAAATGGCGATCTGCTCGTCCTGGTCCTCCTCCGTCAGTTCCCCGCAACTTCCCACGATGTCAGGCTGCGCGGCGCTTGCGGCGGGGGCGCTCTCCTCTGGCCCATCCGCGCCGCCGCCGAGACCGAGCGCGTCGTCCTCGTACTCGGGGCCGGCGGTAAACCGTCAACCAGGTTGCCGCCGGGAGCCTCGTAGAGTTTTTTCTCGCGCGACGCTGTTCGAAACATGTGGAGGAAGTTCTGTCCGGCGCGTGCTGAAAACAATTAGAAAAACATGTTTTTTTTCGTTTTCATCCAGAGTCGGTTCCCCCAAGTGTTTTGATAGTAATACTACAGCTACGAACCTGAGAATTTTACAGGCAGACGCGGCATAACCCACTACGGGTGCGACAAATACCAGTTCTCTGAACGAATGTTCAAATCTCTCACAATCTTCGCTCGGCCGACCCAAAGTTCTCACATTGTCCGCCCGGGTCGGGTGGGCTAACTAGCTGCACCCCGTGCCAGGAATTCCTCTAGCTCGTCGATGCCGAAGAGCTCTACGAGGGATTTAAATCGTTCTCCTTCTTCGAATTGTACCTTCTGAGCTTCATCTGTGTGTCTTTGCGTCTTCCATTCTTGTTTGTTCTGCGCTATATATATATATATATATATATATATATATATATAACATGTAAACAAAAGCCCGAAGCCGGCAGGATAACATATTTTTCCCAACCATCCTGTGGTGTTGGGTCTTCGTTTTGAAGAGACGGTGGCCCGCGTCTCCTCTCCTCTCCTCCTCCTCCTCTCCTCCCTCCTCCTCCCTGCGTTTCACCTGCCCAGTGCAGCGTTCCGTGGCCCCGTAAGGGAGCTCCACCGAAGGCCCCAGTGGCAGCGTTCGCATGGCGGCCCGGCCCCATTTCGGCACACCCCTCACGAGGATCGTGGCCCCATAGGGAGCTCCACCGAAGGCCCCGGCGGCAGCGTTCGCATGGCGGCCCCGCCCCATTTTGGCACACCCCTTACAAGGGTCGTGGCCCCATGGGGAGCTCCACCGAAGGCCCCAGTGGCAGCGTTCGCATGGCGGCCCCGGGCCATTTTGGCGCACCCTTCACGAGGATCGTGGCCCCATAGGGAGCTCCACCGAAGGCCCCAGTGGCAGCGTTCGCATGGTGGCGCCGCCGCATTTTCGCGCACCCCTCGCGAGAATCGTGGCCCCATAGGGAGCTCCGCCGGAGGCCCCAGTGGCAGCGTTCGCATGGTGGCCCCGCACCATTTTGGCGCACCCCTCACGAGGATCGTGGCCCCATAGGGAGCTCCACCGAAGGCCCCAGTGGCAGCGTTCGCATGGCGGCCCCGCCCCATTTTGGCGCACCCCTCACGAGGATCGTGGCCCCATAGGGAGCTCCGCCGGAGGCCCCAGTGGCAGCGTTCGCACGGCGGCCCCGCCCCATTTTGGCACACCTCTTACGAGGATTGTGGCCCCATAGGGAGCTCCACCGAAGGCGCCAGTGGCAGCGTTCGCATGGCGGCCCCGCCCCATTTTGGCGCACCCCTCACGGGGATCGTGGCCCCATAGGGAGCTTCACCGAAGCCGCCAGCGGCAGCGTTCGCATGGCGGCACCGCCCCATTTTGGGACACCCTCGCAAGGATCGTGGCCCCATAGGGAGCTCCACCGAAGGCGCCAATGGCAGCGTTCGCATGGCGGCCTCGGACCATCTCGGCACACCCCCCACGAGGATCGTTGCCCCATAGGGAGCTCCACCGAAGGCCCCAGTGGCAGCGTTCGCATGGCGGCCTCGGGCAATTTCGGCACACCCCTCACGAGGATCGTGGCCCCATAAGAGAGCTCCACCGAAGGCGCCAGTGGCAGCGTTCGCATGGCGGCCTCGGGCCATTTCGGCACACCCCTCACGAGGATCGTGGCCCCATAGAGAATTCCTCTTGCTTCGTCCCACCTGCCCTGCGGCATTCGCGTTTGCATATGGTCGGGTCCTTCGCTGGGATTTTTCTTGGGAAATTTTACACGACGTCTGTTTCTCTAAGTT